AGAGGAGATCAATGGAGGTGTAGGTTTGGGGCACCTCTGAGGGTCACCTCCTCTGACTTCTCTGTGGGCGGGGCCATGGGGAAGGCGTGCCTTTGGAGGAGGAAGCTGTCCTTTAGGCACCCCTCACCCTCGCTGTGCTTAGAAACTGACCATGGAAGGGGAAATACAGTTCTTAAAGGGGTAACTCTGTCGTTTAACTTTATCTTGAATCATTTCCCAAAATGTAGTACCCATGAGTCTCAAGATCCAAGTGTTTTAGCCTGGCACACAAGGTCATTCATGTCTTGGCCGCAACATTCCTTTCCAGCCTCATCTCCCACTGCATCCCTCCATGGGCTCTGCCACTGGCCTCACCAGATTAGTCACTTTCCATAAGAACACCCTGGACTCCTTATGGCCCTTAGCACATCGTGTTCCCTGGGCCTCTTTTCCTCCTCCTCACTCATGGAAATCCTCTTGGGTGTTCAGGCTCGGTTCAGAGGTCAGCATCTGCACAGCTCTTCCAGACCCTCAGAACGGCAGTGTATGTATGTGTGCTTTGCACACTTTTCATTCTGTCTTTTATATTTGAGTGTGACCCTGGTGAGCCTACGAGCTCTTTGAGACCTCAAGGCCAAGTCTGACTCAGCACCTACACCTGCTAAGTCCATACACTGTGCCTTATTAAGGACAGGAGGTGCTAGCAAATGTCTCTTTTGAGCACCTGTGAAGGCAGGGCACGTGACATCATGTCAACTAGCAGCTGTGCCGGAGGGGATGTTGAGAAGCTCATGCTAGGGTTACCGCGGTTCGTTTGATCATGAGCCCAGCCATTGGAATTCTGTTGAATTGGCCTGATAGCAGCCCACTGCTCCCCTTTCTCAGGCCTGCTTCCCACACACCCAGCAGATGTCTGCCAAGTGCCAGGCCTCGGAGCTTTTTGTTTCACTTAAGAACATAGAGTAAGGTAAAAATTAGGGAAGATTCTGCTTGGAATGTGAACATTTTTTAGTTTGGAAGTTCAGGCTTTTGGGGCGCCTAGGTGGCTCAGTGAGTTAAGCCTCTGCCTTTGGCCCAGGTCATGATTTCAGGGTCCTGGGATTGAGCCCTGCATGGGCTCTCTGCTTGGCTGGGAGCCTGCTCCCCCCAACCACTCCCTCCTTTGCTTGCCTCTCTGCCCGCTTGTGATCTCTGTCAAATAAATAAATAAAATCTTAAAAAAATAAAAAAAAGTCCAGGCTTTTTTTTTTTTTTTTTAAATCCCAGAGCTCCTTAAGATGTAAAAACAAGGGGAGAATTTTTTTAGTCTATGTCTGCCTCTAGCAGAATAGCTGTCCATATTAGAGTTGTAACTGCAAATAATAAAACCTGGGTCATCGAGCTTGATTTTGAGGACTTGGGTTCAAGTCTTGGCTTTACCATTTGTCAGCCCCAAAACCTTGGGCAGTTGCCTGACCTCTGTAACCCTCAGTTTCTTTAGTGGACAATTGGGAAATTGTTCTTACAGGATTGATGGAAGTTATGAATGAGGTTTTGGGCATTAAATTGGGATTTTTATTCCTGTTTAATTCATGAGTTGGATTTGAAGGCCATTTTTTTCACTAATTTTTTTTTTCTTTTTTTGGGTACCATCTACACATAATGTTACATTAGTTTCTGGTGTATAATGCAGTGATTCGATATCTTTATGTGTTACGCTAGGCTCACCAGAAGTATAGCTGCCATCTGTCAACATATCCCTCTGTTACAATATCATTAACGATATTCCTTATGCTATGCCTTTTATTCTGTGACCTACCCATTCCCTATACTTCTATACTTCTATTCCCTTTTGCCCATTGTTGCCCATTCGCCACCCCCTGCCTGCTGACAACTATCAGTTTGTTCTCTGTATTTTAGGTCTTACTGAAGGCCATTTTAAAATAGCAGTTCCAAAATGTTTGCTTTTGAAGGAAAATGCTTGGATATGTAAGTTTGCACACACATGTTTTATTTTATGTTTTCAATGACAAGTGAATTTTCATACAGCACGCTTAGGGGACATATATAGCTTATGACACTCAGTTACAGTCCACATAAATTAAAGCCACAGAATCATAGCTTTGAGAAATTCTGGAAGCCTTCGAAGACAAGGGACTGATCATTAAGGACTGCTGCTTGTGGGCTCTGTGCTGTGCCCGCTGGAGTTGGAATCCCAGGGCATGATTACTTAGACCCCGATGGGTAGGTGGTAGTAGGTCTGTTTTGCAGACGGGGAGACTTGAGCTCAGGGAGGTTGAGTAATCTACACAAATCCTGTATCCAAGCACTCACCTGCATCCTGTACTCATGGTGGCCTCTAAAATACCTTTCCTTTCCAGACGTGACGGTGCCTGCCTTTGCTTTGTGGGTCCTTTATCCTCTCCCTGCGGGAGAGGTCCCTGGTTCTGGACCAGATAGAGCAGAAGAAATTGGCCGTGTGGATGTCCCAGAACTTGTTTAATTACCCTGGAAGAGTATCTTTCCTGTTCCTGCCAAGAATTTGCTCATTTTAAGCTCCTTTGACTACTCATTCTTCAGCCTGTTCCTGCTCTCCTGTTCGCGGAGAGATTTGTCATTGCACATCTCTGGTTTTGAGGTCAGGAGTGTATTTGAAGAGGACTTCATGTTTCCTTTTAAAAAATTATAGGTGGAAACAAACAAGGTTGCTGGAGGAGTGGTGAGTGTGGGGTGGCATAACTGGGGAATGGGCATTAAGGAGGGCACGTGACATGATGAGCACTGGGTATTATACAGAACCGATAAATTACTGAACACTATGTATGAAACTAATGATAGACTCTATGTTGGCTAATTGAAATTAAGTTAAAAAAATGGAAAAAATTACAGGTGGAAAATAAAATTCATTCATTCATCATCTCCTCCAAATTCGGTGAGAAGAGGCAGCACAGGGCCGGATTTAGGAGTCACGGCCGTCATCCTGAGTCTGTCACTGACCAGGCAGGGGACTTTGAGCCCAGCCCTTCCATTTCTGTCAGGACCTCAGTATCTTCACCTGGAAAGAGCTGAGGGCATTCCGAGGTTACTCCTAAGATTTTAAAATTCTGCATGTTTTGTGGTGTCAGAACCATCAGTTTCTGGGGAGCTGTGTAATCCTGCAGCTGTTTCTCTAATACTTTTCAATCTTTAGATTTAATGTATTCAACAATGTATAATTTTTTAAAGGGATGCTTTTATAGACACTTCTGAAATACCGGGGGGGGGGGGAATAAATGGATGTTAAAAAATAGAAAACAACCAATTAAATAGTATATAGCATGTAATTCTCCTTGGAAACTTACCACGAAATTGAGGAGCACTTTAACAACTAGTAATTTAAATTGCATTTGAACTCTGCTAATGGTTTGTTTGCATGGGAACTTCAATCATTTCACAGTGGTTCTTTAGCAAAGCTCCTTGTTCGCTTTATGGAAAAGAAGAAAAAAAATTATTAAGAGAGAAGCTGATGATGGAAGAGGAGACCACTGTCCTCTGTGTATGTGTGAGAGGTTGCCCAAGGGCCAAGGTGGAGAGCCTCACCTTCCAGTTTAGAGATCTAGCCAAGCCTGATGCCCTCTACTGCTGTTGGAGAAACCATTCTGATTTCGATCTCCCTCCACAAGGAGAAACTTAAGTTCCCTGGGACTTGTGGGGGAGTGATGTCTAGACTGTACCGTCCACGGTCTGTTGTTTGCCTCTGTGTACTTCATTCCTCAGCAAGCGTGAAACGATGCGTTTCTCATGTCAGTAGAATGGCATTGAGAATTCTCATGTCCTTAAAGACCACTAGGTCTCATTGCTTTGCAAGTTCATCTTGATTATGTGCCATCTTCCTGACTTAATTTCTTTTTGCCATCAGGCTATCCTGACAGCCCTGGACCAGATGGCCTGGGACCATCTGCCACTAACTGTGGCTCCTGGAGTGGCCACCTCCCTCCTCTGGCCCCAGCTTCTCCTCCTGTCAGTTGGAGCAGTTGAGGCGGGCCATTTTTAAGGTTCCTCCCAACTTTGAGTGGATCTGAGTGTTTGAGGATTGAATGAGATAATATACACAAGTCAATTTCATGGTTGGTTGAATAATGTTTAAAATGACAACAATGAAAATGGGAGTAGTGGTTTTTCCGGTATGTGGGTTCCTCCTGCCTGTACAAAGCACACATGTTGTAACAGCCGCTGCCTCGGAATACTCGTCAGTTGGAATATGTACTGCATCATCCTTAGCAAAATAGTAATAGGTCTTAATGAAATAAAACCTGTGAGGAGGACTATCTGAAAGCATCAGGATCATCCAGCTCTCTGCTGCTCACGGGCTGTCCTTTTCGTAGACAAAGAAACTAAGCTTTGGGGGAGGGGGGGGTCACTCAATCCCATAGTCGGAAATTTGTCTCCAAACTCATATATATATATATTGCTCTATGTTTATTTTTTGTTCAGATTTTGCTATTAATTTTTTCTTGGTTGGAGTGTGAAAATCTAACTATTGGTCTCTTTCCTCTCAGTGAGGAGGATGAAGTCTTTTTCTCAGGAGAACTGGGGGGCCTGCAATCTTCTTTCAGTGATTCTGTGACAAATTGGTGCAACAGAAGTGCCAGGAGCTGACTGGGGGCTTAGCAGGTGTAGAGGGAAGCCTCCAAATTTGTAGGCTTCAAGCCTGGCATCATTCTTGGTTTGGCCTAGTCAGTGAGTTCTTAAAGCTGGAAAGTTCTAAAGCTGGCAAGATCCTAGAGATTTGTTGTGTGTGTGTGTTTTTTTTTTTTTTTTTTTTTTAAGATTTATTTATTTACTTTTAGAGAGGGGGTGGGGAGGGGCAGAGGGAGAGAGAGCAAGAAACCTGAAGCCGACTCCACGATGAGCACAGAGCCCACTCGGGGGGCTCGATCTGAGGGCTCTGAGATCATGACCTGAGCCCTGAAATCAAGAGTTGGCCCCTCCACTGACTGAGCCACCCAGGCACCCAAGATCCTAAAGATTTGTAAGCAGCCCTCATCTCCCATTTTCCGCAGGTGGAGACCTTGAGGTACAGAAATACAGCTGAAGACAAGCCAGTCACCTGGTTCTCATTTGAGGCCTTTTCTCGTTGTTCTCCTGGGCGTCATCCTCAGAGGGAAGCAATTTTTCTTCAGTTGGTGAGTTTTATGAAGAAGAGAAGACTCTTTTCTTTTATAATTATAATTATATTACAATTTATGATTTTATAAATGATGCGTATGTTTAATGATTTTAAAAATCCACGGTATCCATGGAATGTGGGGGCACTAGTAGCTGGGTGGAATAAGGGTTAGGGAAGAACCACGGTCTTCTTTCTTTTCATCTTGAGTTGATTTCACTGATCATGGACAAAGTAGAACAGTGCTAATAAAATGTGTGGCAGAGCAGAGGCAGGTCTCAGCTCTTGGAAGGAGGCATGAAGAGAAATTGGAAGAAAATTGGGAGTAGTGATGAGTTTGGATTGCCGGTAATTGTGTTGCTTCCTTCTTTCTCCTTTGGCAGGGAGGGACGCATTCTTGAAATTGAAAGACGGAAATGAAAATGTCAGTGAATAGTGGTATGGGCGTTCACAAGGAAAGAAAAGTTGTATTACTGAATGATTCTTGTTTATCCCCCGTTCGAGGTGCTGCTTCTTCTGCAATCTCATTTTGTTTTCACAAAAATCCTTCGAGGTAGCAGGGGAGGCTAGATTTGCTTAGGCAGAGAGTGTGAGCCGTTGTCTTAAAGGGCCTGCTAGAGTTCCGCTGGGATTCCGTTCCACACTCAGAAAGGGGAATGGTGAACAGGTAAGGGAAGCTTTCCCTTGTGTTTTGAAGTACTTCTGCGTTCAGCTGGTAGACTAGAACATCATGTTCTAGAAAATAGGTGCAGTGAAAAGGATAGTGGTGTGGGCCTCCCTTGGCTGGGCAGAGATCTGAGGAAAACAACGGGACAGTTCTGGGAAAAGCTTCCATTTAGAGTTTGAGATCGGAGGTCTCCCACCTGAGGGCCAGTCCCTGTATACCCCAAGCACTGGCTGTATACTGAGTACATAATATACCTTGCCGGAGTTTAGGGCATAGTTTTCCAGAACAGAGCAGGTACTGTAGTGAGTGATAAAACCTAACTTCATTTAAAAGTGTGACAGTTTACAGTTACATTTTGTCACCTTCTCTTCATCAATGTATCTTAAAAGAACAACTGATCTTCTGTGTGCCAATCGATCTGCATCAGATAAAAGGCTGGCAACCACTGCTTCGGCTCTTGAATACCTTAGCTTGTTCAAATTCACACAAGGTCTTGGATGTTTTGCCCTCAGCACACACTTTAGGAATCAAATGTGCATCTTTGTTACCTGCTCTACTTCCCGAGTTTTTTCAGTGTTTAAAGTGAAATTATGATTAATATGAAGACTTTAACTTGGATTAAAAACAAACACGCAGTGTATGATGACAGAATGGGATAGAACACCTAAGCAGGGGGAAGCTGGAAGACACTTAGAAGTTTTCATTGTCTGAAGCTAATTGTGAGCCAGCAGTGGTTTATGTCTCCTAAAATGACAATGCAGGGGGTGCCTGGGTGGCTTAGTGGGTTAAGCTGCTGCCTTCGGCTCAGGTCATGATCTCAGAGTCCTGGGATTGAGCCCCACATCGGGCTCTCTGCTCAGCAGGGAGCCTGCTTCCCTTCCTCTCTCTCTCTGCCTGCCTCTCTGCCTACTTGTGATCTCTCTCTCTCTGTCAAATAAATAAATAAAATCTTCAAAAAAAAACCAAAACACTAAAATGCCAATGGAGCTTTGGACTGCATGAACTAGAGTGTCCTCTAGAACTCGGTGGATGGGGGATCCTGCTAGAAGCTGGCAAGTCCAGAGGTGAGGTGGGCTTCAGGCCTAGTTTGAATAGGACTCGGCTCTGTCTCTTTGTTTTTGCTCCTTGCTCTGCCTTCTCTGTGTTGACTTCAACCTTGGAAGTTTCACCCTGTGGTCATGAGATAGCTGCCTACTCCATCCGGGCTCTAGGCTTCCTCTTCCCACTGCGGGGAAAGAGCCTTGTTTGCCATGTCCCCATGGCCTTGGGTTGCTGTGCATTCCCCACACAGTCACTGAGGCCGAGAGGATGGGACTGTGCTAACTCGCCTGTGCATTGGTCTCTCCTCTGGAATTAAGTCTGAAGACAGCCCCCCCAAATTTCATGGCAGCTACATGGCATAGAAGATTGGTCCCTCAAAGAATATCTGGGTGTTGCTAGGAGGTGGTGAGAGGCCTAGCGTTGTTTGGGTGACCGTGAACTTTTTTCCTACCTTCCTAAGGTGTCAGATTTTAGTCCTTTCTTCATCCTCAGAGAGGAACGTTAGCCAGCTGGACTGTCTATACAAGAATGCTGTAAAGACTGGAAATGACGTCTCACCAGGAATTATTATGGGAATGAGACTCCACTGGAGAGGGCAGGAGGCAGAGTATACATGAGGATGGCCTTTAAGAATGTAAAACCTGGGAGGTACCTGGGTGGTTCAGGAAGTTAAGCCTTTGCCTTCGGCTTAGGTCATGGTCTCAGGGTCCTGGACTTGAGTCCCGCATCAGGCTCTCTGCTCAGCAGGGAGCCCGCTTCCCTCTCTGTTTCTGCCTGCCTCTCTGCCTCCTTGTGATCTCTCTTTCTCTCTCTCTGTCAAATAAATAAATAAAACCTTTAAAAAGAAAAGAATACAAAACCTGATCAGAAGAGGGGTAGCATCTCTCATTTGTAAGTGTATCTTGAGTCTAGTGGGATCTTTAGCACATAATATGTACACAGTGCATTTCCATGGATAGAAGGAATGAATCTAAATGTAGTAAGTGAATCTTCCAAGGGCATTCCACCAGACACTGGCCATTCTCTTTGGAGAGTTTTAGGAAATCTAGCACAGATGAGGCCACCTTCATGTCTCTCTGAGATGGAAACAAATGAGTCTTTGGGGGCTAGTATGGCTTAAGAAATCTGTGAGTGCCTAACAAGGCTGTGAGTTTGTGGGATGGGGTATCAGAGGCCTTCCGTTATTAGATGTACACCCCAGAAAAACAACGTGCCCCTGCCTTCCCTGATCTAGGAGTTAGGAGTGATAATCATTGCACTGCTCGCCTCTCATGTTTGCTTAGAGCAGATGGGTCGGTAGAGGCCAACCTGTCTTGCAGACTGTGAAGTGCGGTCCATACTTGATAGATTATTACGGTTGTTGTCTTCTTTGGTTTAATGAGTCACCTCGAATATAAAGAAGAATAAGACAGTGTAATATATAGTCCCCAGGACCATGCCAGCTACATGGTATAAACTCAGTGTATGTTTTTCCTCCCAGTCCTGCAGCCCCATCATCTTGAGGACTGATGGGCACTAATTTGTCCTCAATCTTTGAAAAGGGCTAGATCTGGAACCTTGTGTAATGGTTGTGGTTGACATTGAAATGAAATTGTGTGCTGTTAGTACTTTTCATATTTGATTTTGCTCTAGGTAGCAGGAGGTGGAAGGAGCTAGAATTGGGAGACTGAAGAAGTCTCCATGCTTGAGAAATCCCTTAGAAGTTACAGTCTAGCTGTTCCGCTCTTGCTCTGTTTGATTAGATAATCACACCTTCTGCTCTAGGCGTCACCGGCTCAATGGGAGTCAGGAAGGAAATTATTTTCCTCTCTTGATACTACTGTATAATTGTTGACGGTAGCCAAGGGCTTTCATTTTTAATATTTCCTCTTTGGTCCTTAGAAGGATCAGGTATTAGTCTGTGCCGGAAGCAAAGCGATGGTCACTTCCGCCAGAGGTGAATGTCTTGACTCCCTATAATCACTTGGTCAGGTGGTTTCTGGGCATGTGTGACCATCTGCTGAGCCAGCTTTCATTGCTTTTTATGTTATTGTTTCAAAAATACAAAAAGACTTGCTGGGTCTGAGCAGGAGCCCATCCAGCCACCTAGGGCTCTGTGACGGTTCTGTAACCCAAGGATGTCTTATAGGAAATGTTTGCTATCCATGAAAGTCAAAGGTAGAGCTCTCTCACTCTCTCTCTCTGTTTTGTTTCCTTCCTCCTAATTCCATATTCTTATATTTCTTCTATTTCAGCGGAGATGCCTCTGTTCTGTGTTGCATAGGGTGCTAGGAGGTCAGAGGAATTCACAGGTTCTCTTCCTTGGATTCCTGTGTGTTAGGAAGGGTCTGATGCCTAATGCATGGGAAGCCCCATGAGTCCTTGGTATGGCTAGGTGGGTAAGGAGTCTCTGACCTTCCAGGTGTGGTTCTGTCTCCAGTTTTTTTCCCGTTAACATCCTGCAGCCAAAAGTGTCATGTTGACCTTGGGCTACACTGATTTTATTTCCAGGGTCCTCTCTGTGTGGCCAGAACATGCCTGGGTATGTGTCACCAAGTGGGGAAGCATCTCTGCCTGGGGAGGGGGGGCAAGGGTTCTCCCCAAGAGTTTCTAATAGCTAATGTCTTATGGTCTACTTCCTAAGCCTGAAAAATGGTGGAGTTGGTAGGGACCAGGCCTCTCCTCTGTGGCTGCTATCTTTATTATCCATTGCTGCATAACAGACCCTAAACTTATTGCTCAAAACAAGGAATGTTTATAATCTCACACTGTCTGTGATTTGGGACATGGGAGCAGCTTAGATGGGAGGCTCAGGGTCTCTCCCGAGGTTGTAGTCTAGGTGTCTGCCGGCCTGCAGTCTCATCTGAAGGCTCAGCTGGGGAAGACCCCCTCACCCCCGCCCCCCAGGCTCTGGCAGGATTTATGTCCTCTCAGGATTTTGGATTGAGGGCCTCAGATCCTTGCGGACTGTTGGCTAAAGGTGGCCCTCAGTTTTTTGCCATGAGGGCCCCGCCATAGGGCAGCTCACAAGATGGCAGCTGCCTTCCCTCCGTGCAAGTGAGTAAGAGAGAATCCCCCAGATACAAGGCACAGCCTTTCTGTAACCTCATCCTGGTTGTGGCACACCTTCTCTCTCTGCCTCACTGTATTGCTCAAAGCAAGGCACGAAATCCAGCCCACACTCAAGGGGAGGGATTGCACAAGGGTATGAATACCAGGAGACGGAGTTATAGACAGCCATCTTAAGGACCGTCTGTCTACACAGATGCCCTAGGTTACATGGCATATATGAAGGTGGGAGCAGGAGTTACACGGAGCCACTGAAGAAACTC